TATGTGGCTAGAAATCATCATGGGTAGATTATCTTTGATTTTGCTTCAAAGTTTCTTTATGACTTGGTGGTTTTGGTAAAATCTCTAAGGCTAGGATGCATTGAGGCTTCTAGTTTTGGTTGTGGCAAAGGTGATCTTCAAATCTTGATTCAAAGGAAGTGATCAGTTCTATCCTTTTTTTTTTCTTCTCAAGGATTAACCCATTGAGTTACTTTTCCCCTATGGGGAGCATTTGACATGACATCAAGTTGGTAGTTAGTTTAGATGAATTTTATTTTTTAGTATTAGTTGCAATTGTATGATTGTTTGAATTTATTTGACTACCCCCCCAAAAAAAAGCCCAAAGTGTGGCCATGTGGTATGGTCATAAAACATTTTATATATATATATATATATATGCTTAAGAAATCAAGAAAATGTATCTACTCGTGTAAAAGCTCATGCATGTGGAATCTTATGTCCCATTCTTCATATTTACTATTTAAACATTTAATTATTTACAATGTTGCCATTGAATAAGACAAAAGTAAGATAACTTGTCCTTTGTCATCTCCCTCTTTTATATTTGATGTTAAACACCTAACTATTTACAATAGTGCCATTACTAAACTTTTACCTCTTCCATATTTGCTAAAAATCGTCTTTCTCTCTCATTTCATTTATTTATCTCTCTCCCTTTATCCATAGATTTTATTTATTTAATTTACTAAATTATTTAATTAATTAATAATTTATTTTACTAACAAATTATTTCTCTCTTTTCCTAAGCCTAATATTTAGGGTTATTAATAGGTTAAACCTATTCACTAATTAGGTTTGGGTTAGGCTTTGCCTTTATATCAAATAAAACACATTTAGGCCCAAGCCCAAGCCTGACCCTCATATAAAGCTTGAAGCCTAGCAAAGAAATTGAGAAAAATATTTTTATTCTTTACTTAATAACAAATTGATTTATTTATTTATGTTAATTCATTACATAAAATGTAGTCTTGTTATATAAAATATATTTTTATTAAATAAAATATTTTTTTGGTCAGGCTCGAGCTCGAGCTAGGTTTTTTGAGAAAGCCTAAGCTTAGCCCGAAAAAAAAAAGTTAGGCTTGATGTTTTGGGCCCAAGCCTGAGCCTGTAGGCCTAAATTACTGTCCAAGCCCAACCAAGAGTGGGCCGAGTAGCCTGACAACCCAACCTAGTATGTTGGCAACTCAAGCTCGAAAAAAAGTCGGCCCTGGTGTTTTGGGCCTAAGTCCGAGCCCGAGCTCGCAAGCCTAAATTCTTGTCCAAGCCTGACCAAGGTTCAAAATTTTGCAACAATACGTTTGCACAAAGGTCCAATACGCAAAACTATAGAAATACGTCATTAATTAGTTAATTACTCAATTTGAATTTGAATTTGTTAATTAACTTCATTTTGAGACTCATTAATTACATTAGCCATTAATCTTAGCTCTTATAATTGTAAGTATAAAAACTACAAATTATTTTTCTAACAAGATTCAAACCTTAGTTACTAGGCAATGACCATAAGTTCACCACTAAGCCACACTCATTTGTTTGTCATGGTCATATGCATTTTTATTTTTAAGTAAAATTTTCTCCTTTTCTTAGTGGATGTTTGTCAATAAATACTAGAATTAATTATTAAAATTGATATATTAATAAATATTAAGACACAACATATTGGTTATTAGAAAATTAATGTATATATATACATATTATTTATTCCATCATTTTCAATGGTTACTAATGTGTCTCAATATCTCACATTTTATATAAACCATTAAATTGTGGTTTTTTACATTAAAAAATTATTTATAATCATATAATACTTGTTCTTATTGTTAATAATATATTTTTTAGGATTTATTTTAGCTTCCTAGCATATTTATGTGTATTTTGATTCTTTGTTTGTATCCATGCATATCCCGATACATCTCTTAAAATTGACTTTCTGATACACTTTGTGTTTTCAATTCTTTAAAGCTTAAGCCCTACCAAGAGCTGACTAGGTAGCCTGATCGTTCGACTTAGCCTGTTGTCAGCCTTAAATTAATTAATTAATTAGGTAAGTAAGTAAGTAAATAAATAAATAAATAAATAAATAAAGGTTCATTTATTATTGGGACGGGATTGGTACAAGCTATCTCAAACCAAACCCAACCCATTGATTGGTGTTTTGGGCTTGAGCCTAGCCCGCATGCCTAAATTCTTGACCAAGCCCGACCAAGAGTGGGTCGGGTAGCCCGATGGCCCGATCCATTGACAACTTAGGGCAAAAAAAAGTTGGGTTGTTGTTTTGGGCCCAAGCCTGCAAGCCTACATTCTTGTCCAAGCACGACCAAGAGCGGATGGGGTAGCTTGATGGCCCGGCCTGGCTCATTGACAGCCTTAAATTAATTAATTAAAATAAGTAAATAAATACATAAATAAAAATTTATTTATTATTGAGACGGGATTGGTACAGGATTTTTCAAACCAAACCTTACTAGTTGACTGGTGTTTTGAGCCTGAGCCCAAGCCCACATGCCTAAACTCCTATCCAAGCGCAACCAAGAGTGGGCTAGGTAGCCTAACAACCTAGCCTGACCAGCTGACAACTTAGGCCCAAAAAAATTTTGGGCCTAGTGTTTTTGGGCTCGAGCTTGCAAGCCTAAATTCTTGTCCAAGCCCAACCAAGAGCAAGCCGGGTAGCATGACAGTCTAGCCTAGCTTGTTGATAGCCCTAAATTAAATAAATAAATAAATAAAAGTTTATTTATTATTAGGACGGTATTGGTATAGGCTATCTCAAACCAAATCCAACCCGTTGACAACCTTAAATATCGGGTTCGAAGGGGGGGAGAGAGAATTTGTTAGTAAAATATATTATTTATTAATTTAGTAATTTAGTAAACTAAATAAATAAAAATGTATGGATAGTAACGGGCCCATAACATTTACTTAATTTATTAAAATAAATAAATGAATAATTTAATATAGTAAAATAAATAAATAAAAGCTCATTTATTATTGGGATGGGATAGGTACAAGCTATCCCAACTAGACCTGTTCATGGACCAGGTGACCCGACAGTCCAACCCATCCCGTTGATAGCGCCAAATTAATTAATTAAATAATTTAAGATAGATTGTGCCAATCCTGTCCCAATAATACGTAAACTTTTATTTATTTATTTACTTATTTTACTAAATTATTTAATAATCTAACAAATTATTATTGCTAGCAAGATAAGACCTAGAATCATGTAAATTATTTATTAAATTAAATTAAATTAATTATTATTTAACTATTTATAGTTATGCCACTATTTAAATAAAAAATACAATGACAAAAGTCATATCTCCTTCTTTCACTATCTCGCCAGATTATTTATTTATTTATTGTTTTGTTTTATTAAATTAAATATATTATTATCCATACATTTTTATTATTTTTTTCCAGTAAACTTTTAATTAAAAAGTTCACCTTTCGCAATTTTTTTTGCTTAGGTATTGCACTTTAAACTACTTTTTCTACCATTGCCAAATGATCCATTTTGTTTACAAACTTGCAAATTCTCTATTGATTTCTTCATTTCCAATTTATTCTTTGAACTTACAATCATGTATATCTATTAGAATCCTCTTAAAATAGGCATGAAAATGTCTAAAATATCCATACAATTGCTTTGATCAAAATGTTTATTTTCCAAGTTTTCTCAACATATGAATTACTATCCCAAACCTTCCAATCTTTTTTTTGAAATTGGTTTATTTTCCAAATTTGCTTTTCATATCAACTGTTCAAAGGTAAAGTTGCAATTTTAAATTCTGTTTTATTTTTATTTTCATAAAGTTTATATTATTTTTTTAAACTAGCCTCACTAGTAATTGCATGGTGGATATTTTGAATATTTTGTTCTTTCTTTTCAGAGGATTCTAATAAAGAGTGTCTACCTGTATCAAAAAGTTGAAGGGAGGTGATTGTAATTATCAAACTTCATAACAATATCCAAAACTTTAGGGAAGGTTTTAGCAATTTATCCTAAATAAAATACCCCAAATGTGAGGTTACCCTCCTAAATAAAATACCCCAAAATCCAAATGTGAGGAATCGGGAACGTCGGAGTGAGTATTTATCCACGAGTTAAAAGGAGGGAACGCCGGAGTGAGGAATCGGTAATAGCATATAAGGGCAACTTTTTGGGTTTAATATCAATAAAGGTAATATATTTAAAAATATTTCAAAAATAGGTTAACTTTTTAAAAATAATATCAATAAAGGGCAAAAACACTGTTCATCATCTTCTTCTTGCTCTTTATTCACCAGAGCTGTTGTCCGCTACCACCCGCCGCCGCCTCCGGCAACGTTGCTGGAAGTGGCCGGAGGCAGAGGTGGCGACAACGGCGCTGATGATTTCTCTATCCAACGCTGTCACCTCCGCCTCCGCCTCCAGCAACGTTGCTGGAGATGAGTGGAGATAGAGGTGGCAACGACGGCGGGCAGAGGAATGACCACCGGCGCTGCTGTTGCCACCTCTGCCTCCGGCCACCTCCGACAACGTTGTTGGAAGTGGAGGCGGAGGTGGACGGAGGCGCGACGGTTGGCAGCGGACGACGGCGAACGACGGTTCTGGTGAACAAATGGCAAAAAAACAAAGATTAACAATGTTTTTTCCTTTTATTGATATTATTTTTAAAAAATTAATCTATTTTTAATTTTTTTTTTAAATATATTACTTTTATTGATATTAAACCCTAAAAATTGCCTTTATATGCTAAAAACCCTATTGAATACACCACTGCAGAGACCGAATCTGCTTCTCACAATTGGCGCCTCACAGGCGCCTCACACGCACATCCTATCATGCATTGGAACATCTTCTTATAATTTACGGGAGATGTTCCCAATGCACGGTGGATGTTCCTGTGAGGCGCCCATTTGTGAGGAGCAGATCCCATCAGCGGTGTACAAAGGCTAAATGCGCATTTCCTGCTTTGCGTTTGCTGCTAGGTGGCAAGCTGAGGAGGCTTTTGGTTGGAACAACGGTTTCATCTTTCATCAGACCGACAGACCCTCACTCTGCTCGCTTCGTCGTTCGCCCGCGCACGCAGCACATTAGTCACTAGCAAGTAGCATCGCGCGTTTCTTCCATGAACTTAAACTACGCAGTGAAAGCTTTCTCTGCAACTCCATTTAACTGGCGAAAAGCATAAACAAGAGCGTTCCATTACACGGACAACGTAAATGTATTCTTCTCTTTTCTTGCTTTCGTATTGTTTTACTTTTTTAGAATCTTCTGCAAGTCATGCAAGAGGGGAGGGTTTTCTTAACCCAATAACCCCTACGCTTTTTTTATTTTTTATTTTTATTTCTCTTTAATTTTCCCTTTTAATGGTAACCAAAGAGAAAAGCTCATCCATCGGACGAGTTTTCTTAGTAATCCAAGCTCAATAAATTTCTAGCTGGTTAGAATGGTACGTTTTCTAATTTTTCTAGCAGGTTAATGTTGGCTTTATTTGTTATATCCTATGGTCTGAACTTTGGACATTAATTTTTCTTTTACCCCTTTTTGCAAAAAAAAAAAAAAATCCAGTGATTAATGGGGAAGAAAAGAAGTTGGTCTGAAATCATGGCCGTGAGCCAGGCGCCAACGCTACCAAGTGGTACTCCCAATTCCGTCATGTCGTTTCTCAGCAAGTTCGAAAAATACAGCCGTAGCGGTAAAGATTATCAATTCGGTTCTAAGAGCTTTAGTCGTTACAGATTTCATGCATGCCATTGATGCCTTATGTTTAATTAATTTTTTAACGGTTCTAATTTCATCACTTTTGTTAAATGTTAATGGTCTCTGATTTAGTTGTTACAAATTTCAGCACTATTTTTTAACAGTTCTAACTACCTTGGTTGGCTTGCTTGCTAGTGCTCCAAGAACCATTTATTGCTAATGTTGTTAATTCATCCTTCTAAATGCAAGGCATTTTTTAAGACATGAGGATTATAATTAAAATTACATAGCCAATCTTTTATTGTACGTGCTAAGAATTTAAGACCCTGGCATCGACTTGTTTGGGCTTGCCTCTAGGGTCTTGGTACAAAAGTGGCATGTAGTTAAGAGCACAAGGTGTTTAACATTACATTAGCTATTTGAAGTAATGCAAGTGGAAAAGAATAAAGAGATTAAATGTTTCACATGCTTGAATTGTTGAGTTCTTGAATATGTTTTATTTGTTATGGTTGGTTTTATTTTTACATTTTCACTTTGAATGTGTTTAATATGTTATGTTTAAGTATTTTAATTTAAGCTAATAGGCCTTTTAAAACATTTAGTTTAAAACTTTAAAATTTAATTTTGCATCTTTATTTAATACTTTTTTAATATATATTTTTTTAATTTTTTGTGTATGTGCCTTGCCTTGCACCTTGCGTCTTCAGAAAGAAGAAAGAAGAAAGAAGAAAGAAGGAAGAGGAAAGAGTAGAGGCCATTGGTCTAACAATATGGCATGCCAATGCTGATAAAAAATGTCAATCTGTCTCTCTCTAATGACTCTTTATATCATATTAAAGTTATTCAAATTTATAAGAAAACCCCCAATGGGTCTGATATTGTGTTTAGTCAATAAGTATAATTTTTTTTCCTAAAGAATACATTCCTCATACAAATTGAATACTACAACAATAAGTAATATATAAGGTATGCAGTCTTTTCAAAGTGAGAGGAGCAAGAAAAGCATAGGGGCCTTCTAGGTTCTAGCATCCAAGTCACATGGTGCAATGTGAGGCACATGAGCCTGGACAAAGCAAGATGCACATTTTCAAGAAAAACAAAGAATTAAATCAAATTATTAACACATAAAATATGGAAATCCTAATTTTAAAAGAAATTAAATATTTGAAAACCTTATTAGATTAAATCAAAGTACATAAGCATAACATATAATATGAATTCAAAGTGACAGTGAAAGCAAATAAATATTGATCATACCAAAGTGCTTTAGGCACTCAACAATTCAAGCTTGTAAAACTCTCAATGTGCTTGTCTATCTCCTAGTTGCATTGCTTCAAGTACCCATACCTAGTGTGAAGTTAGACGTCTTGCACTGCTGATCTTATAGGGCTCTTTAAGACAAGTTCAAAGAAGTCCACGTGTGGGGTGTGGATATCCTATCCGCAACAGCAAGAATTTCAGGTATTCAAAAGGCCCTTATTTCTTATTTCTTTTAAAAGTTAATTGACCATTACTAGTGGACAAGCACCAATAAAAGGTAATTTAGAAGTTGATAGACCATTACCATCCCAGAAATGAAAGAGACATAAAAATATATAAAAAATTACCAAAAAAGCAAACTATAGAAGATGTGATTCTTGTTGAGGCACAAAATGCACCAGGCATGTGCCTTTTGAAAGGGACTATGCCTAGGTTGATGGAAGTGGGGCATATGCATAAAAATGCAGTTGGTGAACCTTTTAAAACACTGATTGTATGATAAGATCTATTGACACATATTAATAAGATGAGCTCATAGAAATAATATTACGATAAGGCACCTACCTTGTGATTTTTGTTGGCTAGGTTGGTACCTTAGTGCTTTTGTTGGTATTCAAGATAGGTGTTTATTTGATCTAACTGATGTATTCAGGCTAGGCACTCCATGGAGGGTGCCTTAACACCTTAACAAGTGCTTACGCCTTGACAGCTGTAGAGAACACTGATGTGGGCCCCACCGCAGTGGTCCCCACTGTGTTCGTAGGACAGCATGTGTAGTTATTTGTTTCAGTTA